TATTAGTCACGAAAATTAAAGGCGCAAGTGAATTAATTGGTTTATAATCCTGTTTTTTTCGGAATAAATATTATTTCATAAAACCGATGAATAACTATTTATTTTGTACGCGTAATGTTTCTTACAAAATAACAAATCAGTTGATTGATTTGGAAGTTTTTCTAAGAAATAATCATTCATTCATTCAACGGAGTTAGTCATCTGATTACCTTTGATTGACTTACCCAAAATAGAAAGTTCGTGACTGATCGATTGTTTTATATTTCGCTTAAAAAAGGAGGATAATAATAATTACACAAAAATTTTGTATAACGAAAAATAAAATTTTTCACATTTTATCTATTTTGAATTTTCTCAAAATATTATATATCAAAAATTATATCAATTAGTAGCCCAGGTTCTCAAGAATGTTAATTTTAATAAATATCTGTCACTTTATACCCATGTGTAAATAGATAATTTTAATAAAAATATAATTACATTTCGGAGGGGGAGAAATTTATGTAGATAAAATTTTGCATGTGAATTATTTATTTTAATTATCAAAAAAAGTGCGTCCGGATACTTTCTTACAAGTATGTTAGTTCCATTTAACTTTTATTAATTATCGTCCAAAATCAAAAGCGGAAGAATGAAAATAATTATTAGTGAATGATAATATATCATTTACAGAAACGGGAAATTAAAAAGTCGAATAGAATTCCTTTTTGGGCGCAAAATTTCCATTTAGAATCAAGCAAGATGGATTTGTTATTATAAATTGTATTCAATGTATTTAACAACAGTAATAAAAATTAATCAAATTAATAAATTGGTGTGATACTCGACGAAATGTTTTGCGAATACGAATGGGAAATTATTTCGCCAAAATGATGAAATTGACAAATGTGAAAATGATATTATATGATTTTTTTATAATTACATTGTTAAAATGTACGATGTTATTCAAAAGAACTTATCGAATGTCTGGAACAATAAAATTATTTTCCCATATTAATTAATATCAAGCATAACAAGCAGAAATGGACTCATTAATATTTTTATCTATATGTAATCTGTCTTGAAGATGATTTTTGGCTTAAAAACAATACCCACTTAGCTTAATAAATTTTTCTTTAAAGTTGTAAAAAATTATATAGTAACCTCCTTCAAATGCAGTGTCATACCACATATATAAGTAACCTCATAAGTCAGTTACGAATGGCTGAACATGGTTTCTGACTTATTGAGAGAATCGGCTTATCAAAAGTGCGTAATTTAATGTCGAAAGTCTTTTATTTATATTCACTTATTGATAAAATTTACAATTGATCAATTAATATCAATGATAAAATAAATTATACTTCAAATTATTATTAATGCCTTTATTCTATTTTCAAGTCGTAAGGTTTTTTTCCAAATTTCCAAAAATAAAAATCGTAAGATTATTTATTATCATGAGATTATTACAAACATCATGTGATATCGACTTATTGAGACTAATCATAGTTTAGGGGTCATAATATGAAAGAAATCCCCTAAAAAAAAGCTCTTTTTTCCCACTAGGGCACAGCCCAAAAAAAATAAAAATAAAAGTTTTTTTGAGTCAAATTTTTTTTCTAGAAAACATTAAAACAATACAATAAATACAATATACGTCGTATAAGTATTAAAAAAGTCAAATTTCCAACTTCAAGAGTAGTTGTGGGGATGGGAAGTGGAGTCGATAAAGAAACCAGTTTTTGTAAAAAAAACAAAACAAAAACTTTTATTTCTCTAATAAAAGGTTCAACAACAAAGATAATATTTATTGTTTTCAATAAAAAGATAACAAACAACAACACAAATTCAAGAAACAATGGTGCGTTTCTTGACAAGATGCCTTACATGGTCAATGAAATGGGGTTTCAGCTTAATTCTCTTTTTTTTAAAGGCCACGTGGAGATTGTGTACGACGTCAAGTCGCTTCAAATGGTATTACGAGGGGAGTTATGCATTCTCTTTTTGTTAATTCATATGTAAAATTCAATAAAATGTCATGGCAAACAATACTCCTTTTTATATTTATTTTTTAGTATGAGTTTGAGAACTAACAGTATTTAAAAATGATGGATTTGATGATTATTTCCTAGGCTTAGAGTAGGACTACAAATATAACAATCATGATTGTTGTGCTCTTTTAATTCTAGATCAATACCATAGTTTTTTGATGAGTTAAATAAGTGAGTTGATCTGATAAATAAAAGGAAAAAGATATTTATCTCTAGTTCAGGATTTATTCAGCTAATTGATTGATTTTCTGCAAAAATAGACCAGAAACCTGCCCTATTAAAGGTGTGTTGACTTCAAATAAAGGTTCATCCAAGCCTTCTGTGCCATTAATGAATTGAATTGGTGTGATACAAATGTCCAGAGTCACATTGCCATATTTTCTGTTTAATAATATTCTTAAGGAAAATAAATTATTGAGTTTACATTTACAAATTGAAGCTGACTGTCACCTTACATTTCAATGAATATGGATTTATTATTATTTTTTCCCCTTTTGTCCCCTTTTGTCAGATATCATCACCAATGACACATTTTTGACATTTAACATTAGTATTTGTCAATTAGTCATTATTTACTATTTTATTTTATTTTATTGGACAAAATCATGTAAAAAGTCATGTTATTTGTAATATTTCAAGAAATATAGGCTTGAAATCTCCTTCAGTGAAAAAAAAAATTTAATCAATAAAAATAAAATAATTGATCTTTCCATATAATATCACTTTGGTAATAAAAATGACACTTTCATTAATTAATAAATCTGACATAATTGATTGATTCATACCCTTTCTGATGATTAGTGGTTTGGACAGCACTTAGTTACTAGTTAGGTACTCCTTTTATTAGTTTTACTATATTGCTTGTAGGGACGCCTCAAGTAGTATGGTTGTATATGGTGATTTTAGTTTAGTCTGAACATTATTAGCTGTGTGCCAGATTTGGTGACTCTGCAATAGACAAATTTTTGTTCGAATTATTCAAATTATTCGTTTATTATTATTATTCGAATTGTTATCATTTGTTATTCGAATTGTCATTGTTATCATTCATCTATTATTATTCGAATTGTTTTGTTATCATTCGTTTATTATTATTCGAGTTATTTGTTTATTTGAATTGTTTGAACTATTCATTTTATTCGAACTATTTATTTTGTTTGAACTATTCATTTTGCTTGAATTACTCGTTTTAATCAAAGTATTCATTTTATTTCGAACTATTCTTTTATTTGTTTTATTTGAAATATTCGAATTATTCCGTTTATTTGAATTTTGTTTGAATTATTCGAATTATTCGAATTATCTCGTTTATTTAATTATTATTATCTCGTTTATTCGTTTTATTTGAACTATTTGAACTATTCGTTTTATTCGAACTATTCATCTATTTGTTTTATTTCGAATTATTATTTTATTTGTTTATTTGTCTTACATGAATTATTCATTTATTCATTTATTATTATCGAGTTATTCATTATTCATTTTATTTGAATAAACCTTCAATGTAAATTCGAATACTCAAATTCATAATAATAATGAGTAAAACAAATAATTCGAATAAACCTTATTCAAATAGAACCTAATCATAACTCAGATCGCATGCTTGCAATATTATAGACCATAAACAATTACAACATTATGCTTTTACGGTCTCTTTATATTAAGGTGTCATGCCGGATTTACAAGTCATAAAATTTAAAGAATTTTTTTTTAAAAAAATCTAATATTTATGTAAATACATATTTGCGGCTTTTAAAAAAAATTTTTAAAGATGGAAAACACATTGGATGAAAATAAACATCATACTGACAAAAATGATGATAATGAATATTCCGATAAAAGAGATGAAGTATTTGGGAAATGTCCAACTTGCAATAGATATAATATTGATTGGACATGGTGTCAATCATGTGATCCAAAGTTATTGACTGAAGGATGGACTAGTGGTAATGAAGCATTAGATGAGTTGATTAAAAGCACACAACTTAAAGCAATTAAATATGATAATTTGTATTATCTTCAATGGATTCCTTATAATGATTTAACAAATATTGAAAAGATTGGTGAAAGTGGGTTTGCAACTATATCCAAAGCTACTTGGTTAAATGGTTATAAAAAAGCAAATTATAATAATAAAAGAATTAACAAAGATAGGACTGTGGCATTAAAAAAGCTACATAATTCACAGAACGGGTCTGATTCATTTCGTCGACAATCATTTCGTCGACAGTCATTTTGTCGACACCCATTTCGTCGAAAGTTTGTTTCATCGAATGTTCATTTCGTCGAATGTTCATTCATCGAAAATTATTTCGTCACAAAAAAAAAAAAACTTCATTAAACAAATTTATCCTCACACCTCCCACACACTCCGCTTTCCTCACCTAATTTCTTAACTAACTTTCCACACTCCTCACATCTAACTTTTTCGGTCTCTGGCTTCGAGGATAAAAAAATTTTGGACGAAATGAACTTTCAATGAAACAAACTTTCGACGAAATGGGTGTCGACAAAATGACTGTCGACGAAATGATTGTCGACGAAGTAAACGCGACCGAATTAAATCCAATATAAACTTATTATCTTGATCTATATATTATATATATACAGTACATATAATTAAAATCTATTTTTGACAATCTTCATAAACACATGACTGTAAAAATTTTGCATAATATACTTTATTATCAAATATACAACTTTTATTGCATTTTTGATTGGAATTTTTTCCCAAATCTGTCACTATACAGACAGAAAGGTTCTTTTTTTAAAATATACAGCGCCCTAAAAATTAGTACAAGGTTTTCAATAGTGATAATTCTCAAAGATCACTTTTGTTCCGATGATATTTTATTGATGTGTTGTTGAATAAATTACAATTTTTTTTTTTTTAATATGAATGAATACAAAATTTTAACATGATAAAAAAAAATTTTAAATAAACAATATTATTTTTTTTCATTATTATTTTTATCTAGTATAATGAATTTTTTGGGTAATTTTTTTATCAGTGTCCTTTAGTTTTTTTACTTTCAATGGATTTTTGATCACATTATCATTATCATCTTTCTCATTTCTCTCCTCATTTGTTAATTTTAAATAGACTTCTTCAAGTGCGTTATCTAATAATTGATATTTCTTTTTATCTTCATTGCAAAATTTATGATCTTCCTAAATTTATCAAAAAGCTGTAATATAGCCAGAATTTTTTCTTTTATCTTTTATATTTATAATTGCTGGTGGATTTATTTTCAAGAATCTCTTTGAACCTTCACCAAATGTTTCTACAAATGGTTTTGGTTTTTCATGAGTTCTAACACAATTACTACTGAATATATTCATTCTCTGACTGGTCTTCTTGAAACTCTTCTTTAAACTATCTTCTTGCAACCATGCTGATATGGAATTTTAAAAGTTTGCTCTTTTTTAAATTTCAAAAAAAATCATCTGCACACTAATTATTGACCAATTTTTTGTTGGAATTCATTTTAAAAATAAATAAATGAAAATTGATTATTTTTTTGTTTTAAAAAAGAGAAAAGGAAAATGATTTTAATAAAAAAAATTTTAATTGAGTATTTTCTTATTTTAAAGAGATCAAAAGGAAAAGGAAAATAATTTTAATAAAGGAAAAAATCAATTGGATATTCTCTTGTTTTAAAGGGATCCAAAAAGATGAAGAAATGATTTAATAAAATAATTGGTTTTTTTTTTAATTGAGATTAAAAAACAAGAGAAAATTAATTGAGTATTTTTTTGTTTTAAAGATCAAAGGATAAGAAAATGATTTTAATAAAAGAAAAAATTGATTTTTTTTTTTAATTGAGTAAAAAGGAAAGAAAATTTTGTAAACCTTTCCAGTAAATATAATTCGTAATTTGTTTTCTTTAACAAGATAAATTCAACAATTTATATGATTACAGCAATACAATTTCTTTGATCTCAATTGCAATCTGTTTTCTTTAACATGATAAATTAAACAGATAAATTTAATTATCTATTCATCTAGCTGGAGCCACTTTTCCTTAATGAAGATCAATTTCTGTTGTACAAAACAGCCCATCACTAATAATTAATTAATGATTCCATTAATAGTCTAAACCATGCATAATCTTGTATAACACTTTGATAAATTGATATTAAAAACAAAATCTTGTCTTAAAATAATAAATTTTAAATTGTTAACGAATTTTAAAATTCTAAAACAATGAATTTCAAAAAAAAATATTCAGAAGTTTTATCAAAAAAAACATTGATCAAAAACTATTAGATCAAATGTTCATTGACTTCAAGACCAACCCCAACTATTTCACAAAATATCATCAACCAGAACTTGATGAATCAAACAGGTTCTGTCTACATTGTGGTCTAAAAGGTCATATAGTAGAAAAATGCTATTACAGAAAAGGGACAAAATGTTATAGGTGTAGAAAACTTAGGCATATCACCAAACATTGCAAAGAGGAAAAACTTAAGAAAATAGAATTGTTGTGGAAGAAAACTATGAATCAGACAATTATTCAGAGCATTCTGTTCCATATGATTTTGATCCATAATGTAAAATTGTTTTTATGTTATTTATATTATTTATATATGTATCTCTTTATTCTATTATTGTGTTTATTACTATTATTATTCAATAAATGATTAACTTTGTATAGTGGCAATCATCTAAAGACATCATCAAATGTTGCCAATCTTTAAGTGCTGATACTTTATTAAATATGGGCTA